TTCTGGGACAGGAAATAGTTCTAATGGTGGCTGGACCTCCTAGAATTTAAACCTAACCCTCTTGCTTCTTTAGAAAATTCTGACTGACAGAGGTTCAGATACTCCTAAAACCTGGCCCTGGGCAAATTTCTAATGAAATTCCAAGTGCTTTGGCCCCTGTAGACCCCTCTTGAGCATCTGCTGATGCTACCAGTACAATGCCAAGCACAGGTGAAGTCTTAAGGCAAGACTTCCTGCTGTCGCCACTCCAGATTTTCTCCCTGAAAAGCTGTTTTGTTTTTTTTTTAATTTTGGTATTATAAAAATATCTTATTTTTCCCCTTGTAATCTTTAAGTTAAATTATCTCTTTAATTTTGGTATTTTTCTTTTCCCTCTATTCAAGTCTTAGAGACCAGCACAGAGTCTGTGAGAGAAAGTGTTTCAGAAAATTAGAAATTTCACTGAATCTCTGGTAGTTCTAAAAAGTACCAGTTATTATAATTTTGGGCTAACGTGCCAGCTTAGTATAATGGAAAGATCCCTGATTCCAACTTCAGAGAGACACAGTGCTTCTCACTGCCTTCAAACACAATTATAAATTTCAATTACTATAGCATAACAAATCGATCAGTGTGTGTGGCTGGTCAGAACACATCTGCAGATAAAGTATTTCAGCCATCCAAGCTCCATTAGCACATAGGTATTTTTTCTCTCTTTCCTTTAAAATTATCTGGAAAGAAATGTTTTGTACCCTTGGGAACTCCTGTCTGTTACCATTTGTGAAGATGGAGCTGCGATAGGGAAGAAGCAAGGACCCATTTTGTGGTTCAAATGCATTAGAGAGCTGCTGGGATAATGGAAGTGGAGGCTACTTGTCTGTAATCAGTTGCTTGAGAGCAGTGGCTGAGGACAGTCTGGGGCCTGGCTCTACTTGCAAAGGAAGTGTCTGGGGAGGATGAAAGCACACAACTGTGAAGCCTAAAGAAGGGGGCTGAGAGACCCCACAGTAAGGTCAATGTGGCTGCCACAAGGTGTGTGTAATAATCACCATTTCGCTGGTCAGAATCCTGTGAATGAGTCTTCAGTAAAATCACTCATGATCAATGTGGCTGTTTTGTTTCTAATGTGAATGTTTTAATGGTATTTTCTTTGTGATTATTACTGGTGTACAGAAATGTTCTTGATTTTATGTATGTGTATGTTTCTGTGTTTCTTCTTCTAGTGGATAGTCCAGAATATAAATTATTTAGTTCTTTACAACTAATCTGATACTATGACAACTGTCTAAAAAAGATGTTTCCTTGGCCCTTGCTGTTATAGTCATATAATAGCAGATGGAAGATGATCCAGTATTTGCTGGCTTTGGAGACAGAGAGAGAAGAGCTAGATCCTTTAAATTATTGTTTAATGTTATATTGAGAATATTTTGCATAAGGAAAGATGTTATTTACAAATCCCATTTTTTGCCCAAATTTTTCTAAAATTTGTATGGGTATTATTCGATACATACAATAGACATAAAGTATAGAAGGGCTTTATAATAAAACGAACCACCTACCACTTAATTTAAGAACCAGAACATTACTAGAAACCATTCAGATTCCCTGTGTGTCCCTCCTGGATCCTTCTCCGTAGAGCTAACTCCACCCCAGAGGTAACTCATCTCTTGGTTATTGTCATCCTTTCTTCATTCCTTTTCTTTCTTTTTAAAAAGCAATTTCATCATAACCACATGTACACATCGACCTAAACAATATAATATTTATTTTCCCTTGTTTTTGAGCTTTATACAATGGTATTGTATATAGTTTTCCGTGACGTGCTTTTTTTCACTCAGTATTGTTTCTGAGATTCCTATTTGTTATTTATATGTTCTGTGACTTTCACTGCTTTGAGTTACTGCAATTTATCCATTTTCCTGCCACGTACATTTGGATTGTTCCCTGGTTTTGTTTTTGCAATTATAAACAATATTTCTTTGAATATTCTTGTTAAGTATCTCCTGACACAAGCGTTCAAAAAGTCTCTCTGGGGTCTTTTATCTAGACATGGAATTGCTGGAACACAAATAATTTGAAAATAAATTCAAATTATTTTCTAAGGTGGTTATGTCAGTCATCACTCTCAACAGCAGTGTATCAGAGCTCCTATTGTTATGCCTGCCCAAGACCTCTTGATTTATGACACTCTAATAGTTCTAAATGGTTTCTCATTGATATCCTAATATTTACTTCTGGACCAAATTGAGCATCTTTCATGTGTTTATTGGCCATTCTGAGTTTTCTCTTTTGCAAAATGCCTGTTCCTATCTTCTGCCCAAATACCTGTTAGGTTGTCTTTTTCTTGTTGAGTTGTAAGAATTCTTTATATATTCTATATTCTAGACATCATAAATATATGTGGTTAATATATCTTCACCTAGTTTGTGACTTGTCTTTTTATGGTGTGTTTTGTTGAATAAATATTGTTAATTTTATTGAAGTCACATGTATCAATCTTTTATAAAACTTTTGTCTTTCACATTTATTTTGTTAACCAGCATTCTGTTGGGTACTTAAGGGGGACCATCTGTGTATCTCCCACGTTTTCTCTTTGTGTAGCTCACTCCTCTTCAGTATCCTGTCCTGCAGACTCTAGTCATGTTGGTCTCCCCAGACTCATCCTCTCAACTCCGGGAGTCCTCTGGGCTCCGAAAGGTGCTCTTCACTGTCATCTGGAAATTCTCAAGGCAGTAAGCCGGGCAGTCTTCAGATTCGTCTCATTTGCTTCCCATCTTTCGGAGAGTACTCCTTTGTTGCCTGATGCCCAGTGTCTCCACAACTGTTGTTTCATATATTCTGTCCAGTTTTTCTTATCGTTTTAGTCGAGAGTCTAGATCCGGTCCCGACTACTTTAGCATGACCAGAAGCAGAAGTCTTTCCACATCTTGTTCATTTATTCCTAGGTACTTTATACTTTTTGCTACTGTTAATGATATCTTTTAAAAATTGCTGACCTATAAAAGTACAATTTGTTTTTTGTTCATTTGACATCCAACTACCTTGCTCAACTCTCTTCTAATAATTTCTCTGTAGATTCTTTTGGGTTTTCTATGTAGGCAATAAGATCACTTACAAATAATGACGATTTTGTTTCTTCTTTCTAATTCTTATACTATTATCATACTGCTCTGGCTAGATCCCCTGATACAGTATTGAATAGAAGCAGTCATAGTGGGTTATCTTTGCCTTATTCCTGACTTTAAAGGGGCTGTTTCACCATTAAGAATGATGTCTTTTCTCAGGTTTAAAAATCCTTTATTAAAAGATTTTTTCTATATCGATTATACTTTTTTCCTCCTTTAATCTGTTAATGTGGTAAATCTCACTTGATAGATTTTTCTAATATTAAATCTTGCATTATTGGAATAAACCCAATATGTTCATGATGTATTTATTTTTTAGACATTACCAGACTCTGTTTGCTAATATTGTGTTTAGGATTCTTGCTTCTCTGTTTATAAATAAGATTAGCCTGTAAATTTCTTTTTTACTTTATTTTGCTTGTCTGGTTTCAGTAACAAGCTTATTCCGGCCTGTTCTAATAAGTTGCAGAGTATTTCTTTTTCTATTTTCTGGAATAATTTGCATAAGATAAGAATGATCCTTGATTGAAAGTTTCATAGAACTTGTAAAATCATTTGGATCTGGTGTTTTCTTTGTGGGAATTGTTTTAAAATATTTATTTCATTCCACTAATATTTATGGGACCATGTAGGATTTTTATATATTTACACCCACACACATCTACTTTCAGTTCTGTTATAATGCTTGTTTTGAAAACACAAGTTTATTCCAACGCAGTTGCTATATTAAGAAACAATTAGTGCATAACATTTCCTGTTGCTTACACACTGGTTTTGTTCTTAAGAAACATTAGGTGAACACAGAAAACTATACCTAGCTGAAATAGGAATATATAAACATACACACATCTCAGATATCTAGCAAGCAGCCACGTCAGTTCACCCAGTGTGTTATGAGCCACACCCATCCATAGCTGGTGTTAAACTTGCTGTCCAATTTCAAATAACTTCTATCATTTGATAATAACCCACAAGCCACAACCCTTTCTTTCTGTTGCTTAGTCCATGCTCATACCTACTCGGTATATATGGAGATGAGGTGGTGTAGTGAATCAGGGGAGAGGAAACTATGAAGACACCAAGTTTTTGATTTTGATGCCTGGATAGATGCTGACATAATTTACCAAAAATGCAGGTGGCAGAACAGGGTGGGGAGAAGGTGATGAGTTCCACTTAGGACACGTGAGGTTTTAACTGCCTGAAGAACACTCAGATGGGCACCGATATTCAGCTCTGGGGATCTGAAGGTCAGCAAGGAGCTCAGGGCTGGAAATCGAATGGTGCACAGGTGGTGACGGTGAATGAGATCACACAGCCCTGGGGAGACTGCCACCGCTGCAGAGCAGCAAAGGAAGAAGCAACACAGGAAAAGACAGAGTGGGTGGTCACGGGTGAAGAGGAGAACTGGGAGGGTGGGGTCGTTTAAGCCAAGGGAGAAGTTTCGAAAGAAGTGGTCAGCATCAGTGGCTGGCAGTCACTGAGGGTTTCCTCGGTCCGGTATTATCTCACTTAATCCTGACAGCCATCCCGAAGTGTAGATAATGGCATAGACATGTGTTCAAAAAAGAAAGGGAGGCTCAGATTTGTTGACTAAGGTTACTAATCACACGTGTAAAAGACGAAAGCAACATCCAAACTCCTATCTCTCCTTTGCCAGTGCCGGCGTCCCCGTGCCAGGCTGTCTCCTCAGTGGGGAGGCGGAGGCCAGGTTTCCTGGGTGAGGGAAGGACAGGTTAGGATAAGGAGACAATGCTGTGGTGGCAGGGCGTGCGGGGAAAGTGAAGCAGGTGATTTAGAGAGGAGAAAGCTAAGGGAACAGGAAAAGGCTGCTTTTTGTTTCAGGACGAAGGCAATCTGAACAGTCATTTGTTTATTTAGCAAACAATTCATATTGAACATTTACTTCTGGGCACTGAGGGTATAGCAGTTAAAGTCCGCGTCCTGGTGAAATTCACATTTTAATGAGGGTGTCATGCAATAAACAAGCCATTGATAAACATAATTGTATGTAGAGGGAGGTCACTACTAACTATAAGCAAAGCAGGCAGAGCCTGGAGAGTGTGGGGGTGGGGGAGGGACCATGAGGGCCAGCAGGGAAGCGAGGCAGGCCCCTCTGCAGAGGTGATGGCTTAGCAGCGACCTGACCTGGTGAGGCCTGAAGGCCATCACAGGGACTAAGCTGATGGGATGCAAGGGTGGGACTGAGGGTCTTGGGCAAGTGAAAGGCATGATCTCCAGAATTTAAGTGGAGGTGGAAAAGGTAGTGGAGAGGGAAGGAGCGAGAGATTATCTTGGCCACTGATGAGCCCAGGAGTTGGCCTCGGTGGCAAAGAGAGAGGCTTTCCTCTGAAACAGGAGGACAGACTCTGAGGGCAGGCGTCAGAGGAGGGGAGTGGACAAGTGGGTAGGCTCCATGGGCAAATGAACCAAAGGTCGGAGAGTAGACATAATGGGACTTACAGTGGAATCGGAGCAGAGTCAGAGGCAGGGATGCTGCGACTGGTTTCAGAGGAGGAGTCATCCTGGTGATACCAAAGCCGGGGGATCGGCCGTTCCTCCAACTAGTGCTTTAAGCACTGGCTCTCTCTCCAAGCTTTGGAGTCGGCTGACTTGAGTTACAGACTGTTTACACCAACAACTGACCTTAGGCGAGTTGCTTAAGCTCTTAAAGCCTTTTCCTCATCTGAAGATGAGAATAATAGTACCTGCTTCATAGGGTTGCTGTGAGGACAAAATAGGAGGGTTGATACCTTTTGGCCAGCCCACAATGGCCTCCTATCTCTGAGATCTCATCCTTGACCCCCAGAGAGGGTCCCCCGCTACTGTCTCTGTACTATATAACTCTGCAACTTGAGACTGCACCCCCGGGAAATACAGGTGACATAAAATCTGGCACAAGCTTCTGATCCTACCTGCCTTACCCAGGTTTCCAAAGCAGGACCTAACATGATGACGTAGTAGAGACTTCACCCTGCCTTCTGTCTCACCAGGAACTCTCCAGACGGGCAGCATGAATTTCCAGTGCTGAGAAACCGTTCTGTGTGTGGGCACACGCCTGCTTGTGTATATGTGCACAGCAGGGGGCAGGCTCAGCTTCCTGTCTGCCCCTTCCTGAATGGGACAGGCAGTGAAGAGAAGCTGAGCCCAGTTCTTTCTCTGGTGCCTGTTGGCCACAAGGATCAGCTACGCATGTCGGTGTCGCAAGGGCCCCAGAGTTCAGGCATCACACACACCAGGTCACACTCTGCACTCCCACTCTGAGGTCTGGTTCCCTCTTGTGTCACAGTATTTGTGAAGGAAGCAAAACGCTCTAAGCTCCGAGAAGCACGTCCTGCCTGCATGTGAGTGAGCTCTGGCAATCTTTGGTCTGAGTCTGGGACCGAAGAGGTGGCCAAAGGTCTGAAGAGGAAGTGGAAGGGAGCCTGGTCCTGGGAGATGGGCTCTGGAGAGCTGACCCCATGGTGGGGACAGAGCTGGGGACTAGATGCAAGTCTGTACCTCCTGACCCCCCACTTTAGGTTCCCTAGGGGGAGTTGCTCAGGGCCCCCATGGGTTCCCCAACAGCCTCTACAGGCCTCTGCCCACATGAGCCACCGTGGCCTGCTCTAGAGTGCCAACTTTGTTTCTTGTAAAGGAAAGTAAGAACCCACTCCCACGTGGCATCTCTGGCTCATCTGAGGAACTAGAGAGTCAGAGATATAAGGCTAAGGGGGCATAGCTAGGTTATTAACATCAGCAACCCCCACCCCACCCCTAGGACAAGTTTCCCTGGAGGTGGGATGAGCAGTTGGCCACAATCACATTTCACAGACTCAGTAGAAGATAAACCCTTTCATTCGTTTTTGAAAAAATAAATCTCAGCGGATCTTTTTTCCCCAAAGACATAGCCTCTAGAAAACTGGTTCCTGTGCTTTTAGGAGATAAAATTTCAGAAGAATATTTCCACGAAAATAAGTAGTATTCATAAAAATTATTGTTCTTTGGTGGCCTGAGAGCAGGCTGTGTCCACTTCTGTAAAGAGTGTCGCCAACCTATCTAAACACAGGGAAAGGCTAGAGAAACCTGTCACGCTTTGCTCAGTCTTCTCAACCCCATACACTGCCCCTGGGGTCTGGTGGCCTCACTACATCTGTCTGTGTCTCTCCTAACTGGACATCCCAGTATGTGCATTTGTGACATACCGTCCCCACTCTGCCCATTTGTCAGCCTCTCTCCTATCCACTGGAGAGTCAGGAGGAGCAAGAGGTCCGTGTGTCTGTTCTGTCAGGTCAGCAGGCTTCTGATGCTCCCACGGGGCGTCTGCAGGCCAGGCTGGAAAGGGCTTGCTTTTTCCAGGAGCAGCTGCTGTTGGGATGCTTCCAGGTCAGAGGTTGCCTGGAGCTGAGAGTCAGGGCCACAGGCCTATGTGAGATGGTCTGTGGTCAACAGGCAAGAAATGACAGGTGGAGCCCAGGCCAGTCCCTTCTAGAGAGGTCCTTGAAGACCATATCCCAGAGAAAAGGTCCTGTGTAAGCTGCAAAGTAGGGGTGCTAAACAACTGAAAAGAAAAGGGGGCTTCGAGACCAGGAGACTCTGGCTCCTGCTGTTCCAGCTCACAGAAGTCTCAAACTTCAAGCCAGGCTGTAGCTGGTCCTCCTGTAAGATGGAAAAGAAGCCAAAGGGAAGAATGAGGGTGGGGTGCAGTCTCTGTCCTGCCACAGACCCCGGTAGAAGTGTCAGCGGCTGTTCCTTGTCTTCCTTGCTCCCCCTCCCCTTCACTACTCCTGGGAGTAAAGCTACAAGGCCTGTTTCCCCAAGTCCCATCGAGCAGTTCCCCATCCATGTGTCATTCCCTGAGTGTAACACATGACATCAGCATTACTTGGCTGGAATCTGGGACCAACCCCTCAGACCAGTGGCATTGATGACAATGCCACTTCCCGCCTCCCCGGTGTGGTCTCCTGTAGGTACATGTGCTCCTATTGGACACGTGCTGGTGAAAGTCTCCTGGACCGGACATGATAACACAGCGCCTGCTTGGCTCCTGGCTCTGTGGTTGGCTCTTGGGACATAAAAATGAATAAACATAGCCCCAGCCTTCAAGGTCCCCACAGCCTACTGGGAAAGCCAGACAGTGAGCAGCCGGTCCCCGGCAGTGCTCTGGAAAGGAGGAGGACAAGTCCCAGAGGGCTGCTCAGCACAGCCTGTAGGAGGAAGAATGAAAGAGGACCCTCGGGTTTCAACGCCCAGGCTGGAGGATAGTGCCATTCACCGGGACGAGGGCACAGGAGGAGACACTGATCGAGGAGAGAAAGTGAATCCAGTTTGAGGCTCATTAAGACACTGCCCTGCTTGTGAGCTCTCAGTTGGAGATGTTCAAATGAGAGCCAGAAACGTAAATCTGGAACCTGAAGGAAGTCCAGTGGGGCAGGTATAGGAGTCGCCAAACACAAGAAAGTGCTTGAGGTCTAGCAAGCAGGCGACGTGCCGGGTATTATGGAGAGCAAAGGGAACGGGGGTGAAGAAGGGAACACTCCCATACCGCCATCTGAGATAACGGAAGGAAGGACACTGAGCAGGGATGACCAGAATAGCAGAAGAAAGTCCAGAAAATGGTGTCGCAGAAGCTAAGGCAAGAGTCTCCAAAGGCGAGACTGTTCAATGGTATCAGTACCGCCAGGAGACCTGTGGACTGGTTCCTCCTACACCAGCATACGTCTGCGTGCCTCCCTGGGTGTAGGTAGCCCTGCTGTGTGTACCCGCGTGCATGGGGTGCCTACCTCCGAAGGCTCAGCCGGCGGGAGGTGTCCGGACTTGGCACTTTTGGAGTAGGGCCAACCATAAGGATGCAAAGACCGGTGAGGATCATGCAGGTGGGCACGGCACCAATGAGGACCTTGAGGGTCACCACCACCTGCTCTGCCTGCTTGCACACTCCTGCCGTATACCCTACAAACCTGGAGAAATACAGCATCCAGCTCAGATTCTCCTGAGCGTGTCTTGCTGGAGGAGGGGTCCCAGATCCTCCACCTCCATACTCTCCTGAAACTTAGATTCATTTCTTGGCCAGATCAGCCTCACTGTGGTGGAAGGGAGTGTTGTTGGAATGGGTTGGACGGAGAGTTCAGGGAGCATTTAGAATGTGGGGAGATGGGGCTTCAGAGGGGTACAGTCCCCAAAAAAGGCCCCTCCCTGTCATGTGCACAGAGAAACCTGGGGCAGATGGTTCCCCCATACTGTCCAAAGAGCAGAGCTTGGGCCCCAGATTCATGTGCGGCCCCTGGCTGGCTGGGGTGGGGAACCCTGCCCTTTTCTTCCCACCCCACTAGTCTGCTGTGCCTCTGGTACAGCCCAACTTTGCGACTCACTCCAGACTGAGCATGGAGATGCCCAGGGCGCCTGCGCCTGAAAGCTTGGTGAAGAAGACGTAGGACGAATAGAAGATGGTCTCCATGCCCGGGCCGTGCTGGTGCTGCAGCTGGAAGTCATCCACCACATCCGGAAGCATGGACCTGGGGAGGAGGCTGCAGAGTTATCCCCTTCCTCCCCTTGACAGCCTCCAGCCTTCAGGTTCCCTGAGAACAGAGACCAAGTCAGAGACACCCCTGTGTCCCTGCTGCCCGGGACTAGGACTGACCTACAGAGAGCCAGGCAATGTGTGTGGTTGAATTCCACCTCCCTGCCCCCCGCTGCCCCCGTTCAGGCCATCTGGTGCTCTTTTAGGACGGCTCCCAGGACGGAGCTGGTAGCCTCCATCTGCAAGTGGGAGAGTTGCTCCCCAGCACAAGCTAGGCAGAAGGGGCCTGAGACAGCAGGTCGACATGAAGGAGGGCGGTCCCATGAAGAAGGACGTGAAGCTCCCACATTCCCTTCCCCTCGCCCAGCCTACCAGGGTAGCAGCAAGGACACGGCAATGCTCAGGCCAGATACAAAGGCCACGACGTACGCCACGGGTGCCGTGGGCACAACAGCCAACAGGATTACAAAAGGCACCATCACCTGAGGAGACAGACACACGGCCCTGTCCTTGCTGTTTCATTTACTCACACACCGGCCTTTACAAATGCCCCCCAAACCTGGTCCTGTGCTGAGCACCGAAGACACAAGCTAATGCAGGTCCTCCCTGCTGGCCCCCAAGATGCTCAGGCTCTAAGGTCACCTCCCCCTCCCCAGGTCTTGCTTCCTGCCTCACTCACACAGATCCCGAAGGCTGACATCCGCTTCCCAAATCGCTGTAGGACCCACTCCCACAGCGGGGTGCTCAGCACAGCTGAGACCTGCAAACAGACAGAACCATCACAGTCTGGCCGTGTTGCCAACGCCTCTGCCCAAGTTCTTGAAGACATGGCTTTTAGGTGGGTCATCCGACCCCAACCTTGCCCCCTGGTTGGAACTAGTGGCTATGAACTTTATTACCCACCACAATTCCACTCTATGCTAGAATGCAGCCAATTTAGACCACAGCCAAGTCAAGAATGTTGACCGCCAGAACACTGGCTACTCATGTCAAGGCTCACACATGTCCCCAATTCAGGCTCCTAAGTGACCTTGTTTCCGTCACCCCATGACCCCTTACCAGGATGGTTAGCACCAGGCTCTGGACATGGTCGTGTAGCTGGGAGGCATGTGTACAGAACAGGACCAGGTAGCTCTGCTCCACCTGAGGAAGTTAACAGGAAGTGGGAGTCTACAGGGAATGGCAGGAACTCAGAAGTCAAGGGCAAAGCCTAGATCTCAAGTCTGGCCTCCTCTTTTGGACCTTGAACTCTGGTTGCTGCTGCCATCAAGGAGTCCCCTCCCCTACAAAGGAAACTTTTTCTTGACACAGGTATAAACACCATTATTGGTCTACCTTCCCCCTTGCACAGCTAAGATTGGGTGAACTTTACCATCTCAGACACCGTTTTTCCTAGTGTCTAGGCCTTAACGCTTCCCCAAACCACAGGTTCTATTTGATCTCTATCTTCCCAGCACCAGCCTCTCCAGGCCACATGCCAGCCACTGGTCTCTCCCTACTAAATCTCAAGCCTAAACGTGATGCAGTAGGGATGGAGATGAACTGGACCAATGGGGACTGGCCTGGCCAGACGTACCTGAATGGCTGCTGAGATGAACAGGAAGGAGATAACCAGCTTCAGGTAGGGCGGGTGCCGGACAGTGAGGCCCAGCCCAGCCAGGAAGCTTGGGCCCTGGCTAGAGGCTGGGGTAGAGGGCTCTGCAACACAGGAAGGTGACAGCTTGACAGAGTTCCAAACCAAAACCCATGTCCAAGAGGAGCCCAGCTCCCAGCTTTCTGTTTCCCACACTCTGCCTGCACCCCCATACCTGGTTGCTCCGTCACCCCCAGGCGGAGCAAACCAATGCACACAGGGTAAGTCACGGCAACCACGGCGGCTGCAATGGTGTAGAGACGAGTCTGTGGGACAGGACAGAACTGGGGTGGGGGTGATGTTTCCAACCCCTAGAGGTAGGGACGGACACTCAGGGGCAGAACAGGAGTACCTCCCAATAGAAGAAGAGCCCCAGCCCAAGGCTGCTGGGTGCCCATCCTCCCAATTAGTTCAGCAGAAGAGGGAGAGCTAAAGGTCCAGGATAGTCTTTCTCCTGACCCCATGCCTCCTGCCCGCATCCATGCCAGCAAGGGTCTGGGCCCCCACCTCTCATTATTTATTTATTTGTTTGTTTGTTTGTTTATTTTTTACGCCTACAACACCTGGTCTTCCTAGGTGGTCTCCCATCCAAGTACTAACCAGGCCCGACCCTGCTTAGCTTCCGGGCTCGTTCAGGGTGGCATGGCTGTAGACCCCCGCCCCCTCTCATTTTTTAAAACAAACATTCAGTATTGCTGACTTCTGTATGCTAAACCCTGAGGTTACAGTGATGAATAAGTGACCCCTGTGTATCCACAGTAAGGGGCTTGGAGTGTGAGAGGAAGATCGATCCATGAGCAGAAAGCTACAGCACAGTGTGATGCACGATGACCCAGATAAATGTCAGAAACAGTTCCACCTGTCATTCAGGGGAAGGTGCATATGTGATAAAATACACAGAGACACGCATGGAAGTAACAGCCACCCAGCTCTGGATAGAGGTTGCCTGTGGGGAGCGGAGGACAGGAGACGGGCAGGGCCTCACCTGTGTGAGTCCAGCACAGTCGCCCAGGGCCCTGCACTTGGGGGTTAATGTGTTGCTGCTGCTGTCTTGAAATTCTTAATGAATTTTTCTATGAATGTGTGTCACGTTAATGAAGTTGATGGATAATAGAGCTGGAGCTACCAAGAGGCACCCAAACATTCTGTGCCTTTAGGGATGGGTTCTCAGCCTTCCGCTCCCCACAGCTCACCATCCCAGGCCCCGCCTGATCTCTGCCTCCCCAAACCAAGGTCACAGCCACCCTCCATTCTGCCCTCACCCAGACAGTGAAGGGGAGGGGCTTGCAGAGGCCTGAGCCAGGACGTGGCAGTGGAATCAGATTTTTGGCTTAAAACATGGACAGGATTTGGTAATAGGTTGGACCGGACGGTTGAGAGTAAGGGAGGAATAAAAGGTAACTCCTAGGCTTCTCGGGGGTAGTGATGTCATTTGCTTGAGGGGAATAGAAGATGAACTTGATGCCGAATAGATGGATGCCTTAGTTGCCGAAGAGGGACGTGCTTTGAAGGGAGAGGAAGCAGGTGTTGCTGCGGGGTTTCCCTTCTCTTCACACTGGGTGTTAGGGGCCCTCTGTTTGGGGCCCGCTGGGCGAGGTCACAGGAGGGGCTCTACCCTGAGCTCTGCAAGGACACCAAACCCTGCTGCCCTCTCCCCTGCCCCTGCCCGTCCTCCGGGGTCTGCCTCCCCCAGTCCAGATGGCCTGCTGGTCCGCTGCGTATTTGTTTAGTAGGCACCTAGGCGGAGAAGCAGGTCTAGCGGTAGGACGACGGGTCATGGGCCCAACTAGAGGATAAGGGAAGGAATGAGAGGCATGGTGTGCAGAGCTGAGCCCCCAAACGACCATCGAGAGACCTGGGGAAGAAGTGGCCCTAGAGGAAAGAGGCGACTCCACAGAGCGGGTCCTGGCGGGCCAAGCCGCATAGACACTCACGGCTTCGGGCGTGATGGCGACCGGGTCCGGGAGCGCGATGTCCTTACACTTGTGGGACCCGTGGGCACCCGACACGATGAGCCCGTGGACTGCGGCTCCCATTAGCGTTCCTGCCATCTCCATGGTTATCCCTGGGACAAAGCCAGCACTCGAGGAGACCCAGCTCCCAGCCCAGGGCAGTGCCATCCCCTGCCCCCACCCAATGCCCGCACTCACGGTACGCGGTGGCGGAGTCTCGCTC